GGGGAGCTGGGGGGGCTCAGCCTGGAGAAGAGGAGGCTGAGGGGAGCCCTCATCGCTCTCTGCAACTGCCTGAAAGGAGGCTGGAGCCGGGGGGGTCGGTCTCTTCTCCCCAGGAACAAGCGATGGGACGAGAGGGAACGGCCTCAAGCTGCGCCAGGGCAGGGTTAGGTTGGATATTAGGAAAAACTTCTTCCCCCAAAGGGCTGTCAGGCCCTGGCCCAGGCTGCCCAGGGCAGGGGCTGAGTCCCCATCCCTGGAGGTATTTTAAAGCCGGGCAGACGTGGTGCTCAGGGACATGGTTTAGTGGTGGACTTGGCAGTGCTGGGTTAACGGTTGGACTCGATGATCTTAAGGGTCTTTTCCAACCTTAGCGATTCTATGATTCTATGATTCTATTAAAGCACAAGATGAACTCACGCCGTGACCTGAGAACACTTGTTCAGTTGGGATACAGAGACAGCAAACGGGCCACGCGAGTCCAGATGGGTTATCTGTCCTCACCCACGTGGGCTCCTCGTGTGATCCTTCCATTTCAGAGCGAGTAACAAGTCCACATCCTCAAAACCCACTGGCCCTTGCACCTGCTCGCAAGAGGAGACTTTTATGCAATTTTAAAGATGAACATGCTCTGTGGGAACAAAAATTCATCAAGGCCTGAGGTTACCGTTGGTCTGCTCCCAGAGCAAACAAAAAAAAAGCACAAAAGGACTTGTTAGCCTCACACTTCCTAAAATTGTCAGGGCTCATGTTCATTTACTATTGAAGACGGGAGCAGCCTGAAGCTTTTTGGCTCCTGATTCTAATGTGCTGTGATCAATATTTCAAATTTATTTCATGTGGCAAGAAATATTTTGGGTTATTTTATTAATTGCGAAAATGAAGATTAATAGGCCGTGTGACATCAACTTAACTGGGGTTACTGAGGGTTAGATTTCCACGTGTTTGTTTTGGGCTCATTGAAGGCACTGAACCTGATTCCCCCCAAACCCACGTCCCTGAATGTGAAATCAGTGGCCAAGCGGGGTTGAAGATGGGATATCTCACGAAGAATAATTTAAGTATTCCTTTTGACTAACTTACATCAGTCCTTAAGAAAAAAAAAAGTTAATTCAGAGAGTTGATTACTTAACCCTTGAAATCAAATTTTGTCTTTTGATATTAAAGAAAGAGTAATACTAGAAAAAACGCAGCCAAACATGAAACCCACACATTAAACCTGCTTCTTATTAACTTTTGCAAATGTTTCCACCAGCGGCTTATTCCTGAAAAAAATTAATATGCCGGAAGAGCTCCGACAATTTCCCAAAAATTACCTCTCTGTGGGCACCATTCAGGGAGGGAACAGGGACGCTGAACATAAAAAGTCTTCCTTGTGACAGAAGATAAGCTGGGTACAATTAAAGATGGAAAAATTGAGCAAATTAAGTAGGAATTCAGAACAGAGTAAAAAAAGTCATTGCTGTTTGTTTAATAAGAACTCAGGAACTCAAAAAGGGCTGCAATGTGTTCTTAGCAGCATTGAAAATGTACAATCTGAGAAACCCCAAGGAAGGTACCCGAGCAAGAGGTGTGGCAGGCAGAGAGGAGACGGGCACGGGGAAAGAGCTGGAAGCATCTAAATGGGCCTTACACAGGCGAGGCCCGGCCAGCGGCTGCCAAGGGATGGCTTACGTAAGGCCGATGAGGCAGCGTTGTGTGCCACCTCGTGTTTTCTCCGGGATCCACATTTTGGAGCAATGACGTTTTGTCCTCGGGCACCCAGCCGCAGCAGGAGGAAGAGTTCTTGTTCTCTTTCTGCTCTCCGAGCCAAATTTAGCATCGGTCATTGTGATAGAGCAGCTACTAGACATGCACGGGGGTGAATGACATAGCCGAGATGTCCCAGCACTGTCACCTCGCCTTGCTGCATGGCCTGATTTTATGGCAGGAGAGCAGGAATCGCCTCGGAGGAGGTGCTGCAGCAGCCACACCACGGCCTGCAGCCCCAGGCGCCTGCAGCCACCTCCCCTCGCCGCGCCATTCGTGCTGACCGACAGCAGAACTCCAAGAACCGTCTAGATCGAAGCAACCGACGCAAGGGCTTCACATCTGCCAAGGGTCAACGAGTCACACCGCACCTACGCACACGCTGTAGTAACGAGGCGAGTGTCGGAGGACACCGTACCAGGTGCTCATTCCAACATCCACCGCAGCAGCGTGTGAAACATGGTAATCCCCAAATGACGGGCACCTGACAGCCACGGGTGCAAGGACCTTCCCAAGCCCTAATAACGAGCACTGCAGACCTGCCTCACAACTGCAAGCTGTAATTCCCACCGTGCACTGTCGTCGTGTCCACAGATACTCTGCTCACCAGCCTAAGCTGTTCACTAAGAATCGGAACCTTACCCAAACCTGAGTTCCCTGCCATATGAGTGTGGTTATTTCTTTAAATCGGGACTTTGGCTAAAGGGCTTGAGCCTGAAGAGCTCCTGCAGGGATAAAAAATGAACGCAGGAAGGCTGTACTTTTCATCTCTGGGGTTGAAGTAACCCCTCAGCAGCTCGTCTGTTTCAGAGAGGTGCCGCTGAAACAAACAGACTCTTGGTTTCTTCCTGGGGTGCAGAGGAAAACATCAAAAATCCTAAAATAGCACTCTATTTTAGTCGGCGTGATCAAAGTACTCAGACGTGACACGGCCCGGTGCTTTTCTTTTGGGATCAGCGGCTCAAGGCAGGAAGCATCCAGGGATATTTTAAAGACCTTTCTATAAAGAAGTGTTATTTTCTGAAAGCAAAGAACATTGGTCTCAGCACACAGACACAAATGTGCAGCAGCTGAAGTGAAAGCAGAAGTTGGCCAGCTGCATAAAAACATGGGTTTATTTGCTAAACCAAAGTCCTAAGGTGTTTCTTATGCCATGTTAAACCAATTATGCAGGCTAACAGGGCAATTAGCCACCTGCAGGGCAAGCCCCCAGCAGCTGAGCAGCAGTACCTGCGGCAGCGCAGAAGGGCAGCAGCCACCCTGCCCGGCCGGGTGGGCATCTTCAGGTGCTCACAGCCCATCTCCTCTTCTTTCTGTGCTCATGAGCTGGTTTGGAAACCAACAGGGTACTGACATGTGGGCCAAATGTTTATCTGGCTTTGGAGTTTCTGCAGATGACTCAGGGGCTTCTATTGAGGCGATGCTAGCCACCACCGACGGCAGCAAAAGCTTGCAAAAGGCAAGAACGTGGCTTTTGACTCGTTAAGAGCGCAGTGCCTGGAGCAACGTGGCCACTCTGGCCCTAGGATTCTGGATGCTACCACACTGCAAATGGTACTCTTCAGTAATCACGGTATTTCTGCAGGAGCCTGTACCCAGAAAGGGTACGCTCTGGCAGTGGAAGCACACCAGTATTATACAACGGTGTACGTCGGTGTGGTTACACTGGGTGGGATGATCCAGTCTAACATCCATTGCTGGAGCGAGGATGCCTCGCCATCCCACCTCTGCCAGCACCATACTGCTGCTGCTTCCTTTGAGTTCTGGTGCTGAGCAGATGCTTCTCAGAGCCAGCCCAACTCACATCAACCCAGAAGTAGACACGGCAGAAGACAGTTTTCTGCTGGATTTGTGAGCTGAATTGGCACATGTGAGGGTCCAGCAAATGCTGAAGCTGGTGTAAGGGTGAGAGGTGCCTAAGTAGCAAGATTTTCTGCTGTAAGTTTGGTACAGCTCTGCCAACTCTTGATTCTTTTAAGTATCTTCCCATTACTGATGCAGTATAAACAAAAATACCGAAAAACCATCTGACAGCACAGCCCACACGGCTCAGTCCTTTGAGCAGGGACATCAAGAGAACTGCCGAAGGCACGAGGAGACCAACCAGTCCCTGAGGAAAGGAATGAGGTGAGCACTCTGGAAACAGTGCTGCTTTGGGTGTATCTGGGGTATTTCAGTGGTCTCAAAGGAAAACACACTGACCAAGGTTACAGAACTTGAAACTTGGTCTGAAAATGCTCGTCAAAATGGCTGTGCATGAATATTTCATAATCATCGATTCCAGCTTCCAAATAAAGCTGCCTGTAAAGAATCTTTTCCCGATTCATTCTGGGGTTGACTTTTCTGGTTTGCACATTACTGCAATAAAGACCCTGCAATGGGAATCCACGGAATACATTTGTCAACAACACATAAATCTGAAGAGATTCCTGTTCACTGTGCTACAGATGTACCGGCTTTGCAGGGCTACATCTGGCAAAAGCTCCTTTCAAGCAGCAAGCAAACAGACAGGGCACTGCACAAACACAAGGCAGCAGGAACCAGCCACTATTTCAAACCAGAAACGCACTGAGGAGTCTGGAAGCATTCAAAGGGAACAAAAGACAATGTTGTTGCTATTATTTTCTGCCTATCATAGGACACACAACACACAGGAATGCTATAGCCCGACGAGGAGGTACCCACTTGTGTTCTCAGGCGG